AGCGAGTATTCAAATAAATCCAACCAAGATGAGCAGGGGGGAGGCTTGGGTTTCCCCGGCGATGGAGAAAGTCAAGCTTTCCACCTGCCCTTGCTGGCCTAGGCCTCCACTCAAGGCTACAAAGTTTCAATTATAGAAGGTAAACAAATACAAACAGAAAAGGCTGCTGCCACATAGCAAGCAGAAAGCTTGGCTCTGCCCCAGGCTTCAAAGTCTCAACTGTAGAAGATAAATATATCCCAGATACCAGGGCCTCCACTTGGGTCACCAGGGGCGTGGCCAGCCTGCAAACCACCTCAGGCCCCTTGCCCAGGCTGCCCCATGCCCCAAGGAAACCCCCACCCTGATCTGGGACACCGTTCAGGGCAAACCAGCTGTCCCCCACACATGCACCAGGCCTCTATCCTATCTAATAAAAGAGTAATATGCAGATTGACCATCACTCCCAACACACAAAATAGCTGCCTCCATGTAGTCAAAGATCCTGCCCCTATGTGGACACAAGATAGCCAGCAGGGGAAGGCAGTTGGGAGGGACCAGGCCTACAAGGGAGGGAAGTTGGGATGACCAGGTCTGCAGTGAATGGCAGTTGTGGGGGGGACCCAGGCCTTCAAGGGAGGGCAGTTAGGGGTGACCAGGCCTGCAGGGGAGGGCAGTGAGGGGCAAATAGGCTGTCAGGGGAACAGTTATGCATCAATAAGGCTGGCAGCAGAGTGGTTACAGGGTGATCAGGCTGGCTGGCAGAAGCTGTTGGGGCAATCAGGAAGGCAGGCAGATAAGCAATTAGGAGCCAGCAGTCCTGGATTGAAGAGGGATGTCTGACTACCCTCAAGGGGTCCCAGATTGGAGAGGGTGTAGGCTGGGCTGAGGGGCACCCTTCCCCATGCACAAATTTCGTGCACTGGGCCTCTAGTTATGCATAATAGTCAAAAGTGGAAACAATCCAAATGTCCCTCAACTGATGCATGGATAAGCAAAATGGAGTATATTTAAACATTTTAATTTTACTCAGCAATAAAAAGGAATGAATTACTGATACATGTCACAAAATGGATGAACCTAGAAAACAATGTTAAATGAAAGAAGCCACTTACAAAAGACCAACTATTGTATGATCCCATTGCATGAAATATCCAGAACAGGCAAATTTAAAAAGACAGAAAATAAGCTAGTAGTTATCTAGGGTTGGTGGTGATAGTTGTGGTGGTGGTGGTGGTGTGTCAGGAAAATGGGGGTGGGGTACAGAGGGTTTTTTTTGGCATGATGAAAATGTTTTAAAATGGATTGTACCTGACAGTTACACAAATCCATGAATATATTAAGACCATTTAATTATGTGTTTTAACTCCATGGATTCTATGGTTTGTAAAATATTTCAATAAATCTGTTATATAATTAAAAAGTAATGGTCTAAAATCTCAGAAACATTGATACCTATTAATATCATTACCCAAAATTTAGACCTATGCAAATCTACTTGAGGAGCACACACTAAATATCTTTATTATTTCTTTCTACAATTTTGATAAAAGCATGTCTGTGTATGTCTGCTGTCTTCTTCTGGAGGACAGGAAGAAGAAAAGGTCCACAGGAGATAATGCCCACCATATGCCTGACTTAAGGGCTGAGGGTGAGGTAGGCAGTGCCAGAGAGTTGGGGAAAGCACAGGGTACAAGGACTAGGTTTCCACGAAGCAGGAGATATGCTGCTGCAGTGTGGGAGAGGGTATGGTCTCCCCAGGCGCTCCCATCAAATGTGCTTCCCCTGCTTAACCTCTGTTGTCATCTCAGCCCATGGCTTTTAGTTTCCACAGTGTTTGCTCATTCTTTAAGTGCTTACAAGTAGATGCAGGAAAGTCAGAAATGAGTAGCTATTTTAATGATTTTTCACAGGTTACTTATAAGATTAGTCTAAAATTACATCTTTTTCTAAGTTAGCATGAATGTATGAGGCAGATAATAATCACATAGTGACTTTTACTCAAGTTTTCCAGAGTGTTTTAAAAGTGTTCATCTAATCCGGCTGGCATGCTCAGTGGTTGCGTGTTGACCTATGAACCAGGAGGTCACGGTTCAATTCCTAGTCAGGGCACATGTCTGGTTTGTGGGCTCAATCCCCAGTGTGTGGCATGCAGGAGGCAGCCTATCAATAATTCTCTCTCATCATTGATGTTTCTATTTCTCTCTCCCTCTTTCTTCCTCTCTGAAATCAATAAAAATATATTTTAAAAAATAAAAGTGCTCATTTGGCTTAAAAATATGATTTGCAAATATTTCCCCCCATATTGTAGGTTGCCCTTTACTGTTGATTGTATGTTTTATTTTTAATCTTAGAGGGAATCATTATTTTATTATAATTTAAAACTAATTTTAGTGTGACTTACTTTTTAACCATTTTATTAAGGTATTTAGTATACTAGTATACAAGTCAATGAGTTTGGGTGTAAGTATATAATACATTGATTGTATAATTTTATGCACAAGTTTTAAGTTTGAGATAGTCCTCTTGCATTTTTATTTTTGCTGCCTGTTTCATATGTGCCTTTTGATTGACTTTTGGTGTCATATCCAAGAAATTATTGCCAAATTCGATATCATTAAGCTTTTCTCCTGTTTTCTTCCATGAGTTTTATACTTTGGGATCTTTTACTTAATTTATTTTGAATTAATTTTTGTATATGAGCTAAGATAAGTAGACAGCTTTATTATTTTGCATGTAGATATCCAGTTTTCCCAGCACTATTTGTTGAAGGGACTGTCCTATCCCCATTAAGTGGTCTTTGTTCCCTGGTCAAAGGTCATTTGACTATATACATGGGGGTTTATTTTTAGGTTCTCTTTTCTGTTCATTGGTCTACGTGTCTCTCTTTATGCCAGTACCACATGGCATTGATTAGTATACTTTGTAATATTTTTATATCAGGAAGTGTGAATCTTCCAATTTTGTTCTTTGATTTTGACTTTATAAATTCCAAAATAAATATATTTAATTAACATTTGGTGAGAATTTATTACAAACATTTGGACAGATATTCATAGTCAAATGAAAATGCAATAATGAGCAAATAAGGAAGTTATTGGACATTTGAGGTAATTTACTTAGTTTCACAATGCAAATTTCATTTCAATCATAAATTATACAGGTTTGTTACTACATTATCCAATTTTACAAAATAATTGCATCTACCTGTCTTCTATATACTTGATCTGTAAATTTATTCTCTAAACCTCTGTTCTTGTAGTAGAAAAGTAGAAAGTTTTCTATAGGAAAGAAAATGGCTTGAATTCTCACCATCAACAAATAATCACTGTTAATATTCAATATATAATTTTTTTTCACTGCTAATATATACATATAAATGTAGTTAGCTGCATTTGTAAATAGTCTGAAAGAATCTATACCAAAGTGTGTTTGTATAAAATTGAATTATATTTTCACACTTCCTTTTTCACTTAATGATACTTTGTGAATTAAAAAAATTATGATGGCAGGTCTGCATCATTGTTTCTGAAGCACACCTTTTATTCTTTTACCTTGGTTCCATCGTAGTTGGTCGTGTCTAATGTTGGATATTGGGGTTGTGCCTAATTGGCTTCTTTTCTTTTATAAACAACTAGAAGCCCAGTGCACGGATTCGTGCATCAGTGGGGTCTCTCATCCTGGCCTGTGGAGATTGGGTTGAAACCGGCTCTCCCATATGCCCCGAGGGTCACGGATTGTGAGAGGGAGGTTCTCAGGTGACTCACCCTAAAACAGAGCTCCTTCCTTTCTGATTCTGGGCGCGTCTCCTGAGAGCCACAGCTTCCAAGTCACCACAGCTCGGCAGTTCTTGTGTTGAGTGGTCAGTGCTTGTCATAGTTTCTGGTTTGACAGTCAAATGTTTGCTTAGGCTTTTATATATATAGATACTATGATTGCATTCTTATACATACAATTTTACCTACCTGATTATTTCTTTTGGATACATTTCATGAAATAAAATTATTGGGTAAAGGATATAAATAAACTATTGGAATTCTGATGCTGTATTGCTAAATTGCCCTCCTGCAAGTGGCAATTTCTATTCCCACTGGCAATATATATATGTGCCTATTTGCCTAGCCTTATACCAACACTTTCTCAATTTTCTAAGTAAAAACGGTGCATTTTCATTGTAACAGTTATGAAATAGTTATTTGAATAATAGTGAGGTTAAATATTTTAGTGTTAAATTTAAAAAGCAATGGCATCATTCTTTTTAGTTTTAATTATTAAAACTAAAAATTATGAAATGTATTCTTTTGGGAATTAATGTTCTTTGCCTGCTTTTTCATTTCACCTTAATGACTTTTAAGTTTAATATTACAAACTTAAGTTATAGAAAATGCTGTGATCAGAACTATTTTTCAATTTTCTTTTGCCCATTAACTAGGTTAATGATACTTTGTTTAGCTCTTTAGTTATCTTTAATATTCTGTGTGTGTGTGTGTGTGTGTGTGTGTGTGTGTGTTTTCAAAGATTAAAGCTGTTAATTTCTTTCTTCTTGGCTCCTGGGTCATTTTCCATTTATATTAATATTAATTAATCTTGTCATACCTAGAAAGATATCCCCATATCAAAATTATATAAGCACCTCACTACATTTTTTTATTGCTTTTATGGTTTGCTGGATTCTTTGGTCTTTGATTTTCAAATGTTAAAAACTAGCACTTTATTTATAAGGCATTTTATCATTTAAATTGATTTCATATTCCCTTACCAGCACCCTCTCCGCAAATATAGAAAATGTGAGACTAAGTAAAATCTACAAAGTTATGTTTAGTGGAGATGGCCTTTCTTAAATATTCAGAGGTCTTTTTAAGGATGTCTGTCTAAGATAGTACTACATTTAAGACTTTGAGAACTTTTTTTTAAACAATAGAATTGGTAATGGAGACTGCCAGTAATTTATGTAATCTGTTCACTGCAACTGTGAGCTTAGATAAAAGAGCTAACAAGGATTATTTTCCTTTTTCCTCTAGGTTTTATAGGAAGACAAAACTTGTTGGTTTTCAAGACATGGAGTGTGTACCTTGTGGAGACCCTCCTCCTCCTTATGAACCACACTGTGAGTGAACTTCATACAAACACAGCAGAAGGGCTCTTGGCCTTTAAAAAAAAAACAAACAAAAAACACCTTTGTTCCATTGGCAAATGGAGCAAAATCTCTCTCTCCTGTGGGGCTTATAGTGTGCACTCCTTTATCAAGCTTTCAGCAGGACATAAAGCTCTTTTGTTGTGTGCCTCAGCCAGAAAACTGTCCATTGATTTGAATCTCAAAGTGAAATATAGATATTTTGTGGCTTCTGTACTCCATTCAAACTCTTATCTTTTCGTGTGTGTGTGTGTGTGTGTGTGTGTACTACTATATATACTATATATGTATATAATATGATATATATATGTACATAGATAGATAGATAGATAGATAGATAGATATAATGCAACTCCAATGAACTAGCTGGTCTAAATCCTAATGCATAATGTCTTTGTGCCATGGCCCCATTAATTCCTGTATTTTCCCATCTTAGTCCCCAGGCACTGTCATGTGGTGTCTTCCATTCCAGACACATTCTTCTCCATGAATTGTCTGCCCTAATTAATGTATTGTTAAATGGAATCTTAGTTCACTTCATTCATTTCTTTACTTTTCTCATTTAATAAATAAGAAGAGAAATTCACTGTGTCCTGGGCATATAACTGCAAATTGTGCCTTTTTTATTTATATCAATATTAATTAGTCTTTTTTACCATACTTTTCCTTTAGATATGAAAGATATTTGTTACAAGTTTTATGAGCTTGCATTGATTTTTGAATGGGAATCCTAAGTACAAATCTGGCCAATGAAAACCAACAGGTGTTGGGCCAGGAAAGAAATCAGCAGGTTTTCTGATGTGCTCAACTCAGGCTTATGTTTGCTAAGCAGGGCTTTAGTGAACTGTGTTTCATTGTACACAGAAAGAGCAGGCATAGCCAGAGGAGGCAGGAGGGCTTTTATCCCAAGCACAGGTTGCTCATGCCTTTCTGGGGAGCATTGGTGAAATCAGTGTTTATATTTAGGGGTTGTTTTGATATAATTTTTAATACATAGGATTTGTCCTCTTCTTTCTGTGACAAAAATCTCCTCTGAACTAATTGAAAGTTATTGCATTATTTGGTAAGGTCACATAGTACTTATATTTCCCACCAATTCATGGACTTTTATAGTCCATATTATTATGCCCTTTATCAAATGCATTACTTTTTATTCTTCCTTTGAAGTGATAAGAAAAGAAAATTCAGACTCTAACTTTTAAAGAAATGTATTTGACCTTCATTTTTATAATATCCAAATATTCACCAAATGATTCATTGCAATTAATGAGTGTAATCGTGAATGTCTGTTATGTATTAGTCATCATTGAGAAACAATTTGTTTTACTCAATACCACACCATCAGCCAACATTTGGAAGACACCAGGTCCAGAGATGTTAATAACTTTTCATTGCTGCCTGGTAATTGGCAGAGATAGTATTCAAACCTAAGTCTGTCTAACTCTAAGTAGTATGTTTTCCACCACACTCTGCTGTCTCTCTAAGAAAAACCAAACTAAGCTGTCCTCTGCTGGCTGATGTAACTGCTTCATGTTGAATTCTTCTTATATAGTTTGCTTCATAATTAATGAAAACTCTAAAAATCTAACATAGAAAAGATCTTGAAAGAGCCTCTTTATGCTACACAACCTATAAATGACATGTTCTCTTGCCATTTAAAATGAGGTAGCAACTTGGTCTTGCTGAGTGGTTCATCTCAGTCATTATTTTGTCCAGAAGGCAAAGATTATGATCTTCATCCAAAACTACCATGAAAAGATTTAGTAAAGAAATTGGTATTAATCAATTTAAAATTGGAAAGTTCTGGGGTAATTTTTTCTATTTAATAATCTACTCATAAGTTTGAGGCACTGGAAATTTTTGCTTTCGGGGATCTGACTATGTTTGACATCATATATTAGTCTTCAAATGTAGTTTTCACATTTAACTTTTAATGTCTTGTAAATCCCTACTTAAGTTATAATTTGAAAAGAAAATGAAGTAGCTTAAATTATATTATAGACATATTTCTCCATATATGAAACTTTTTAGAAAGCAAAATAACATAGATTATTTTTCAAAATCAGAGATATAGTGTGCACAGCTAATACTTTTTTAAATCATGAAACAAGAGTCTGGTGGTCTTTAGTGAGAGTTAATCCTTATTAAGTTCTGTAAAGGAAAGTTTGCTGCTTTTGGCACAGTTCTTAGGAATCATTCCAGAACACAACTAATCTCCTCAAAAGAGATTTTCACGTTTTGGGGGGAAATTATGTAAGGCGCCTTATGTTTTCATTTCTCCTACTTTGGGCTTTTCAACTTATTCACAAAAAAACTGCTTCTATGTGTTTTTTGTTTGTTTTTTTTACCCCCATGAAAAGCTCTTATATTATTTCGACTCCTAGTTAGCTACAAGACAGTTATGGCACTCAAGGTACCTCAAGTAAAGGACACGGGCAGTATTGAGAGAAGCAGGAACTTTCTAGAACCCAGGGGTAGCCCTTGCTTGAAACCTCAGGCAGCCATAGAGTCTGGAGACGATGGTCCCCTGCAGCCTGAGACTCTGAGCCCTGCATTAGCGCCACACAGCTACTTGCTCAGGCTACAGCCTCTCCTTATACCTCCTGGTTTTCCTTCATACTTTTACTAGACTGCATTGGTCTGGACTTCCCTCTTTCAGCTCCTGAAGGACAAAATCTGATTGGTCTAATTAGATACCACTGTGAGACAGAATCTTTTCCGTTTACCTGTTGAACAAACATTTAAGTGCCATGCACACAGTGAAGGACAGATAGACTCCAGTTCTTTTCTTCAGGGAGGGTACAGCATAGTGGAGGAGTTGTGAAATAACTACTCTGAGTTAAACAATATTGAGATACAGCACATGTAGAGGCAAAATACTGACTGTTTAATCCTTTTTTGTAAGGATCCAGGGTACTCTGAGGGTGATTAATGGGTAATGATGTAGGATATTAGGGAAGGCTTTGAGCTGTGATTTAAAAGATCAGCTAGAGGAGGAGGACTCTGAAAAGGTGACTAAACAGAGGGTCCAGAGAAGTCTGGGGAAACCAGGGGAGTACGGTGGCCTGAAGCATACTAGTGGATGCTGTATGCAAGCTGAGTCTGTTGACACTGGAAATGCCCTTTTCACCTTGGAGGTCTTTGATGACATTGACGAGAACCATTTTAATGAATAATGAAAATGGAGTCACATTAAAATGAAACAAAAAGTTAATGTAAGCAGAGAATGGAGACCATTATAGACAACTCTGAGATGTTTGCCTGTGAAGGTGACAATGGAATATGCAGACAAGGGAGGGATTTTGTTTTAGTTAGTTTTCTAGTGTAGACACATTTGCATGTTTTCATATTGAGAGAACAAAATAATAACTAGGCACCATAATGTTTGTTGGAGAAGGATCCTGAAGCTAAAATGTTCCCTTGGCCTTATCTGGGAGGAGGAGGAGATCTCTGCCATAATCTGGGAGGAAAGAAGGGGGGAAGATAAGCATTAGCTTGTCATTCAGTGATGAGGTTGAGAGGTTCACATGCCCTGCTTCCGTGTAGGACAGAGAAGACGCCCTGTTCCTCTGAGGCAAGGAACTCGGAGGCTGGAAGAGCACAGGTGTTTGAAGTTCTCATTACAGATAGTGGGAGGCCGGTTAGAGAAAATAGCGAGTTTCCTGGTAACAAGGGTCCAGCTGAAGTGTGTGGTCATAGCAGTACATTGTTTGATCCTCATAGGATATCTGAAGGGGCTTCTGTGGGGATGACTCAGGCACCTCTGAAACAGCCCCAGCATATGCGTAAGTTGCTTCCTAAATATATAGTAAGCTACATACAACTTTTTAAAAGGGATGACTGTGCTAATAACACAAGAATAATTTTAAATTAATGTAATTTTTTTTTTTTTTTGGTATTGCTATAATACCTGAAGCAAACCAAAGTAACACAAGATTGAAAACTTCTCATGTATTTGTCAACTTTTCAAGGTGCCATCCAAGTCCATACTTGTCTACGACGGGTGTACCTTTGGCCAAGTGACTTACTTAACTCTCCAAGGGCTAGGTTTTGTCCCTGTAAAATGGGGTTACCTACCTATGAAGGTTGTTGTAAGTACTGAGTAGTCAGTATATGTAAGTCACCTGACAATGTCTGGCAATGAGCAGGGTCTCCAATCTGTTGGCTCCCTTCCTTGCTCCCTCTACCCTTAATGCTTCTTGGTTTTTGAGATCTTATTCCTAGCATTTGGGGGACTTGTTGTCTTGAAAAAGAACCAAGTAATTGCCTGGAGATTTGTTATTCAGCAGAGGTAGTGGTTCAAAGAAGACCAGTTAGCTAGCACTGTCTGTATAACTGCCCCACTCAATAGGAAATGGTATAATAGGAGACTGCCAGGATTCAGCCATCAGATAACTAATAGGTTCTCTACAGCTGAAATTTGTAATAAAGTGTCTAAATGTAAGTTTCTCTCTTTGCAGAGCACACCTGTATTCCTTGTAAAGTGATTTTGAAAACAAGAAAGAAATTTCTTTCCATCATGATTTATATTGCCCCAGGCTTAAGAAGGCCTCAAAATGTGGCATCTATCAGAGTCAGTAGAGTAGAGCAGAACACAGTATGAGACCTGTTGCTGGAGGTTTTGGATTCACATTTAGGCTCAGCCTTCTACGGATGGTGTAACCTTGAGCAAATCATCTCACCACTTTGAACTTCCATTTACTCTTTGTTAGCAGATCTTAGAATGAACTATATGAGACAGTGTCCAGAGGCATACCTGCCACAGAGAGAACTCCTTAACAACTATTTGCCTGCTGGCCTGCTCTTTTACAAATAATGGCTGCACCTGTCTCTTGGCCTGCCCTGACCAGGGACGCTCTGTGGAAGGTATGACAGTTGAGATTGGTCCCATACGGGGAGGATCTCATGATGTAGTTGTTTTGATGTTTGTCTTGCTGGTCTTTCACCTCCAGAAGTGGGTGAGCAATGGAAAA